TAACTCCTACCCCAACAACCCCATCAATGTCACGCCCATATACCATAACTCCTACCCCAACAACCCCATCAATGTTACGCCCATATACCATAACTCCTACTCCAACAACCCCATTAATGTTACGCCCATATACCATAACTCCTACCCCAACAACCCTATCAATGTCACGCCCATATACCATAACTCCTACCCCAACAACTTGATCAATATCACGCCCATATACCATAACTCCTACCTCAACAACCACACTCAATGTCACGCCCATATACCATAACTCCTACCCCAACAACCACACTCAATGTCACACACATATACCATAACTCCTACCCCAACAACCTGATCAATGTCACGCCCATATACCATAACTTCTACTCCAACAAACTGGTCAATGTCTCGCCCATATATCATAACTCCTACCCCAACAACCACACTCAATATCGCGCCCATATACCATAACTCATACCCCAACAACCACACTCAATGTCACGCCCATATATCATAACTCCTACCCCAACAACCACACTCAATATCACACCCCCTACTCTAACAACCACACTCAATGTCACGCCTCTTACCCCAACAACCCCATCAATGTCACGCCCATATACCATAATTTCTACCCCAACAACCCCATCAATGTTACGCCCATATACCATAACTCCTACCCCAACAACCACACTCAATATCACACCCCCTACTCTAACAAACACACTCAATATCATGCCCATATACCATAACTCCTACCCCAACAACCCCATCAATGTCACGCCCATATACCATAACTCCTACCCCAACAACCCCATCAATGTTACGCCCATATACCATAACTCCTACTCCAACAACCCCATTAATGTTACGCCCATATACCATAACTCCTACCCCAACAACCCTATCAATGTCACGCCCATATACCATAACTCCTATTCAAACAACTTGATCAATGTCACGCCTATATACTCTAGCTCCTACCCAAACAACTTGATCAATGTCACGCCCATATACCATAACTCCTACCCCAACAACTTGATCAATATCACGCCCATATACCATAACTCCTACCTCAACAACCACACTCAATGTCACGCCTATATACCATAACTCCTACCCCAACAACCTGATCAATATCACACCCATATACCATAACTCCTACCCCAACAACCACACTCAATGTCACGCCCATATACCATAACTCCTACTCCAACAAACTGGTCAATGTCTCGCCCATATATCATAACTCCTACCCCAACAACCACACTCAATATCGCGCCCATATACCATAACTCCTACTCCAACAAACTGGTCAATGTCTCGCCCATATATCATAACTCCTACCCCAACAACCACACTCAATGTCATGACACTTACCCCAACAACCACACTCAATATCACGCCCATATACCATAACTCCTACTCCAACAAACTGGTCAATGTCTCGCCCATATATCATAACTCCTACCCCAACAACCACACTCAATATCGCGCCCATATACCATAACTCATACCCCAACAACCACACTCAATGTCACACCCATATACCATAACTCCTACTCAAACAACCTGATCAATGTCACGCCCATATATCATAATTCCAACCCGAACAACCACACTCAATGTCACGCCCATATACCATAACTCCTACTCCAACAAACTGGTCAGTGTCACGTCCATATATCATAACTCCTACCCCAACAACCACACTCAATGTCACGCCCATATACCATAACTTCTTCTCCAACAACCTGATCAATGTCACGCCCATATACCATAACTCCTACCCTAACAACCACACTCAATGTCACGCCCATATACCATAACTCCTACCCCAACAACCACACTCAATATCATGCCCATATACCATAACTCCTACTTCAACAACCTGATCATTGTCATGCCCATATACCATAACTCCTACTCCAACAACCTGATCATTGTCATGCCCATATACCATAACTCCTACTCCAACAACCTGATCAATGTCACGCCCATATATCATAACTCCTATTGCAACAACCACACTCAATGTCACAACCCATACCCCAACAACCACACTCAATGTCACAACCCATACCCCAACAACCTGATCAATGTCACGCCCATATACCATAACTCCTACTCCAACAACCTGATCAATGTCACGCCCATATATCATAACTCCTATTCCAACAACCTGATCAATGTCACGCCCATATACCATAACTCCTACCCCAACAACCACACTCAATATCACACCCCCTACTCTAACAACCACACTCAATATCACACCCCCTACTCTAACAAACACACTCAATATCATGCCCATATACCATAACTCCTACCCCAACAACCCCATCAATGTCACGCCCATATACCATAACTCCTACCCCAACAACCCCATCAATGTTACGCCCATATACCATAACTCCTACTCCAACAACCCCATTAATGTTACGCCCATATACCATAACTCCTACCCCAACAACCCTATCAATGTCACGCCCATATACCATAACTCCTATTCAAACAACTTGATCAATGTCACGCCTATATACTCTAGCTCCTACCCAAACAACTTGATCAATGTCACGCCCATATACCATAACTCCTACCCCAACAACTTGATCAATATCACGCCCATATACCATAACTCCTACCTCAACAACCACACTCAATGTCACGCCTATATACCATAACTCCTACCCCAACAACCTGATCAATATCACACCCATATACCATAACTCCTACCCCAACAACCACACTCAATGTCACGCCCATATACCATAACTCCTACTCCAACAAACTGGTCAATGTCTCGCCCATATATCATAACTCCTACCCCAACAACCACACTCAATATCGCGCCCATATACCATAACTCCTACTCCAACAAACTGGTCAATGTCTCGCCCATATATCATAACTCCTACCCCAACAACCACACTCAATATCGCCCATATACCATAACTCCTACTCCAACAAACTGGTCAATGTCTCGCCCATATATCATAACTCCTACCCCAACAACCACACTCAATGTCATGACACTTACCCCAACAACCACACTCAATATCACGCCCATATACCATAACTCCTACTCCAACAAACTGGTCAATGTCTCGCCCATATATCATAACTCCTACCCCAACAACCACACTCAATATCGCGCCCATATACCATAACTCATACCCCAACAACCACACTCAATGTCACACCCATATACCATAACTCCTACTCAAACAACCTGATCAATGTCACGCCCATATATCATAATTCCAACCCGAACAACCACACTCAATGTCACGCCCATATACCATAACTCCTACTCCAACAAACTGGTCAGTGTCACGTCCATATATCATAACTCCTACCCCAACAACCACACTCAATGTCACGCCCATATACCATAACTTCTTCTCCAACAACCTGATCAATGTCACGCCCATATACCATAACTCCTACCCTAACAACCACACTCAATGTCACGCCCATATACCATAACTCCTACCCCAACAACCACACTCAATATCATGCCCATATACCATAACTCCTACTTCAACAACCTGATCATTGTCATGCCCATATACCATAACTCCTACTCCAACAACCTGATCATTGTCATGCCCATATACCATAACTCCTACTCCAACAACCTGATCAATGTCACGCCCATATATCATAACTCCTATTGCAACAACCACACTCAATGTCACAACCCATACCCCAACAACCACACTCAATGTCACAACCCATACCCCAACAACCTGATCAATGTCACGCCCATATACCATAACTCCTACTCCAACAACCTGATCAATGTCACGCCCATATATCATAACTCCTATTCCAACAACCTGATCAATGTCACGCCCATATATCATAACTCCTATTCCAACAACCACACTCAATGTCACAACCCATACCCCAACAACCACACTCAATGTCACGCCCATATACCATAACTCATCCTCCAACAACCACCTCACGTCACACCACATATCCTCGTTACACACGATTTGTGTCCTCACCACAACCCCATACAACATCTGAACTTCATGATGCTGAACTTTCCTAGCCCAAACCACCCTACACCACTGTTCCCAGCTCATAACCCCACAACAAGCCCAAACTTCACCTTGCTATGTACCACACTTGGCCCCAATCTCCCATGTCAGGCCCATATCCAGCATGTCATCCAGCTTTACACATCACACCCCTATCCCATATATCACACCCAATTCCACATATCACATTGTAATCCCATATGTCACACATGAATCCCATAAATTCCATCCCTCACACAACACCTTCATCCCATATATCGCACCCAATCCCACATGTCAACTCACAATTCTACATGTCACACCACAATCGGACATGATGCACCCAATCCCACATGCCACATGAAAATCCCACATGATGCACCCAATCCCACATGCCACACCAAAATCCCACATGATGCACCCAATCCCACATGATGCACCCGATCCCACATGCCACACCAAAATCCCACATGATGCACCCAATCCCATATGCCACACCAAAATCCCACATGATGCACCCAATCCCACATGTCACACCCCCATCCCACACATAATGTCATCAACCCACCTGTCACACCCTCATCCCACACATAATGTCTTCAACCCACATGTCACACCCCCATCTCACACATACTGCCCTCAACCCACGTGTCACCCCCCATCTCACACATAATGCCCTCAATCCACATGTCACACCCCCATCTCACACATAATGTCATCAACCCACGTGTCGCACCCCATCCCACACATAATGTCTTCAATCCACATGTCACACCCCCATCTCACACATAATGCCCTCATTCCACCCCACCCCACACATATCACACCCTGCCCCACCCTGCACATTACAACCACATTCCACATGTCCCCATCCCAAATGTCACATCTCACACCACATGCTACACCCCTATACCACATCACACCTAATCCCACACTGCATTCCAGCCTAGTTAAGTGATACTCATCTGATGTGCCTTTTTGTAGGTTTACCAGAAGAGCTCCTGGATGTCATCACAGACAAGCAGCTGTCCAGCTACCTCGTCAATGACTATGACAAGCAGAGTCAATGTAATCACTCCAGTTCCCATGATAACTGTGATATGGACCGATATGATATAGAACGAAGTAAAGATTCAGTTAAAAACAGAAATAAGCCAGGTATGTAAACATCAAGTACATAAAACAAACTTTTCATCCTATGAATGACATTAAATGGTTAATCTTCAACATCTATCTCAACTAAGTTTAAAAAAGACATGAAGAATTTAGTTTATGAAATTTGAAATTTTGTCTTTGGATGTAAAATCTTCTACTATCATCTTAATTTTCATCACAATATCAAAATTCTTCTGAAGCTCATAACCTGTACCTAAATTCTAGGGCATGTTTATTGATGGGAGTTATGCCCCTTGGTGTTTCTGAACAATGGTCTTTCAACCATAAAAGTGAATGTAAGGTGTTGTTATTGTGTGTTTACATCAAGTTATCAGTTACTATAGAAACCAATGTACACAGTACTACTTCAATATAACATCATAACATCAGGTTATACACCTGACGAGATTTTGATGATAATAGGTCAAGGTCATACAGATGTGGAACTGTCCGAGCTTATGGGACTTCTGTACAGACCAAAATGAATTCATTGTAAAGGAAAATAATATCAAAAACTGGGTCTTGTTCTGGCCAGGTTTTCAATGTTTGATAATTCATTATTTATACAGGACAAGTTGTTATCATTATTTTGTAAGGACTTTGTCTGATTTTGAACTTTAATGTTGACCAAGATGAATCATTAAACATAAATAGTTCTTGAAATGAAATAAAGACAAATTATCAACAATGGTCCATTTTGAAATAAAAAAAAACATGCCTTTCTCTTTAATCAGCCGAGTGACATACAGTAGAATACATAGAATACAGTATTTAAATGCTGTTAAATCTATGTATGTAGAGTATGCTGTATGTACTTATCATGCAGTAATTGTCTATGTATTGTCTTGTTGGATTCTAAAATAGAATAGTTACAGATGACAAATTGTCAAATTGCAGAAAACTTGTAATCTTGACACTTTTGTCTGGAATTGTAGGTGTCCAGATTATTGAGGGTCTTTGGTCGTTTCAATCCCTAATGGGTTCAAGTGCTGTGAACTTTTGCCCAAGGGTAGCTGGGAGTGTCTTTGGTCATTTCAATGTCTTATGGGTTCAAGTGCTTTGAACTTTTGCCCAAGGGTAGCTGGCAGTTAAGGAAACTCCAATAGTCTGGTCTATGTGACCTGGAGCCAGTATTAAGAAAGATAATTCTGTCTGAGTGGCTATCCGGGTACCTGAAATATTTAGGAAATCATTTCATAAAGCTATGGCACTGTTTGGAACCTGTGATGTGCTGCCCCTATCAGCAAAAATTGGGCTTTCTGCTAAATTTTTAACTTGAAGCAACCTCCAGCATGATGTCTGGAACAGCTTTCATTGGTTTGGAAGCAGTTCCATTTATTCTTGAGAACACAAATTTAGATACTTATGCATTTTCAGCTCTGACCTGACATTTGGACAAGCCAGCTTGCTTCATCGAATGCCTCTATACATTTCATTGTCATTTTAAGATTGTCTTGCCTATCTCTGTATCATACAAAAATGTATGGAGAATATTGATTTTTTTTTAATAATTTAAACAACACATTGCTTTTGGAAGGGGTGTATATATGGAAAAGTGTGAACACACGTTAATGGTTGACTGAACACACCTGCACTGGGTGATTTGGAAGATTGATATATTTTCCAAAAATAGACCAAGAGAAAAACATGATATCCTCACTAATATTCAAATCTGTGTTTCAAAATAAAGGTAAAATGTGAATAGTAAAATATTGATATCCACCCCTGAAGTCTTAGACCAGGACTAACCCTAAAGTCTGAGGCCAGGACTAACCCTAAAATCTTAGAGCAGAACTAACCCTAAAGTCTTAGACCAGAACTAACCCTGAAGTCTTAGACCAGGACTAACCCTAAAGTATTGAATCTGGACTAACCCTAAAATCTTAGGCCAGGACTAACCCTAAAGTCTTAGGCCAAAACTTACCCTGAAGTCTTAGACCAGGACTTACCCTAAAGTCTTGAATCTGGACTAACCCTAAAGTCTAAGGCCAGGACTAACCCTAAAGTCTGAGGCCAGAACTAACCTTAAAATCTTAGGCCAGGACTAACCCTAAAGTCTGAGGCCAGGACTAACCCTAAAGTCTGAGGCCAGGACTTACCTTAAAGTCTTAGGCCAAGACTTACCCTGAAGTCTTTGACCAGGACTAACCATAAAGTCTTGAATCTGGACTAACCCAAAAGTCTGAGGCCAGGACTAACCCTAAAGTTTTAGGACAGGACTTACCCTGAAGTCTTAGACCAGGACTTACCCTAAAGTCTGAGGCCAGGACTAACCCTAAAGTCTTAGGCCAAGACTAACCCTGAAGTCTTAGACCAGGACTAACCATAAAGTCTTGAATCTGGACTAACCCAAAAGTCTGAGGCCAGGACTAACCCTAAAGTCTGAGGCCAGGACTAACCCTAAAGTCTTAGGACAGGACTTACCCTGAAGTCTTAGACCAGGACTAACCCTAAAGTCTGAGGCCAGGACTAACCTTAAAATCTTAGGCCAGGACTAACCCTAAAGTCTTAGGTCAAGACTTACCCTGAAGTCTTAGACCAGGACTAACCCTAAAGTCTTTGGCCAAAACTTACCCTGAAGTCTTAGACCAGGACTAACCATGAAGTCTTGAATCTGGACTAACCCTAAAGTCTTAGGCCAGGACTAACCGTAAAGTCTGAGACCAGGACTAACCCTAAAGTCTTAGGCGAAGACTTACCCTGAAGTCTTAGACCAGGACTTACCCTAAAGCCTTAGACCAGGACTGACCATAAAGTATTGAATCTGGACTAACCCTAAAGTCTTAGGCCAGGACTAACCCTAAAGTCTGAGGCCAGGACTTACCTTAAAGTCTAAGACCAGGACTTACCCTAAAGCCTTAGACCAGGACCTTAAAGTCTAAGACCAGGACTTACCCTAAAGCCTTAGACCAGGACTAACCATGAAGTATTGAATCTGGACTAACCCTAAAGTCTGAGGCCAGGACTTACCTTAAAGTCTAAGACCAGGACTTACCCTAAAGCCTTAGACCAGGACCTTAAAGTCTAAGACCAGGACTTACCCTAAAGCCTTAGACCAGGACTAACCATGAAGTATTGAATCTGGACTAACCCTAAAGTTTTAGGACAGGACTTACCCTGAAGTCTTAGACCAGGACTTACCCTAAAGTCTGAGGCCAGGACTAACCCTAAAGTCTTAGGCCAAGACTAACCCTGAAGTCTTAGACCAGGACTAACCATAAAGTCTTGAATCTGGACTAACCCAAAAGTCTGAGGCCAGGACTAACCCTAAAGTCTGAGGCCAGGACTAACCCTAAAGTCTGAGGCCAGGACTAACCCTAAAGTCTTAGGACAGGACTTACCCTGAAGTCTTAGACCAGGACTAACCCTAAAGTCTGAGGCCAGGACTAACCTTAAAATCTTAGGCCAGGACTAACCCTAAAGTCTTAGGTCAAGACTTACCCTGAAGTCTTAGACCAGGACTAACCCTAAAGTCTTAGGCCAAAACTTACCCTGAAGTCTTAGACCAGGACTAACCATAAAGTCTTGAATCTGGACTAACCCTAAAGTCTTAGGCCAGGACTTACCCTAAAGTCTGAGGCAAAGACTAACCCTAAAGTCTTAGGCAAAGACTTACCCTGAAGTCTTAGACCAGGACTAACCATGAAGTCTTGAATCTGGACTAACCCTAAAGTCTTAGGCCAGGACTAACCGTAAAGTCTGAGACCAGGACTAACCCTAAAGTCTTAGGCGAAGACTTACCCTGAAGTCTTAGACCAGGACTTACCCTAAAGCCTTAGACCAGGACTGACCATAAAGTATTGAATCTGGACTAACCCTAAAGTCTTAGGCCAGGACTAACCCTAAAGTCTGAGGCCAGGACTTACCTTAAAGTCTAAGACCAGGACTTACCCTAAAGCCTTAGACCAGGACCTTAAAGTCTAAGACCAGGACTTACCCTAAAGCCTTAGACCAGGACTAACCATGAAGTATTGAATCTGGACTAACCCTAAAGTCTGAGGCCAGGACTTACCTTAAAGTCTTAGGCCAAGACTTACCCTGAAGTCTTAGACCAGGACTTACCCTAAAGTCTGAGGCCAGGACTTACCTTAAAGGCTTAGGCCAGGACTAATTGTAAGTGTTGAGTCTGGACTAAATTAGTGATCAGATGATTATTTAATGTCTGGTTGGGCTTGTGTTGGGCTTGTTTGTTCTCCATTTAACAGACTCTGTTCTTAGTCAGCTTTTTACAGGTTTTCTATCTCCATGTCTCAATGTATGTCTCTACACACTGTCTCACCAATCAGCATCAATGTTCTGGTGATGTCAGGAGGCAAACTGCATCCCCCTCAAAGAGTAGAACATTTTTTAGGTTGGTAATTTCAATAGAGTAGAGGTTTTTATAACACAACCCGTTGAAGATTAGATTGTGATGGTCACCTTCTTTGGACAAATGACCAGTGTGGAGTGGACTAGCAATGATGTATGTAGTGTATGAGATCTACATGGTCCCTTACATCAGACAAATGACCAGTGGGGAGTGGACTAGCAATGATGTATGTAGTGTATGAGATCTACATGGTCCCTTACATCAGACAAATGACCAGTGGGGAGTGGACTAGCAATGATGTATGTAGTGTATGAGATCTACATGGTCCCTTACATCAGACAAATGACCAGTATGTAGTGTAGATCTACACGGTCACCTTCATCAGATAAATGACCAGTTTAGCGCTTATTTACACTGACATATGACCAGTGTGTAGTGTACTAACACTGACGTATGTAATGTACGAGATCTACACGGCCACCATTATCTGTGTAAACGATGGTGAGGATTGACAAAACTTTTTCGGCTGTACTATGATAGTATGTACACTAACAAAACGTTTGTTGCACCCCCCCCCCCCCCCCTCTATCCTCTCTCTCTCCCTCTCCATCCCTGTTTATTACTGGTTTCCTTAAGCAAACGCCTATTTTGGAATTTCCCATTCAATGATTCAATGATATGAGATATGATTTTGCAGTGTGGAATGATCTGGAAGTGCACATTTATTGATCTGGAACTGAGATTGTTTTCTGTTTGATCTCGTGTATTTTTTGCCTTCTTTGGATTCCCAGTCTTTCTGATGTTCATTGAATCCTTCCCCGACTCTCCTGTTTTTCCGATGTATGATGCCTCACCGTTCTTGGATCTGATTTTGTATGTGTCTTGTGTCTATTTGGTCTGTAATCTGTTTGCATTACAGTACTGCCAAAAATGTTTCTTGATTCCTCACCATCTTGTTGAGCATTAATTACGTCAGTGTTAGTACGCTCCACATTGGTCATTTGTCTGATGAAGGTGACCGTGTAGATCTCTTACACTACGTATGTCAGTGTTAGTACACTCCACACTGGTCATTTGTCTGATGAAGGTGACCATGTAGATCTCTTACACTACGTATGTCAGTGTTAGTACACTCCACACTGGTCATTTGTCTGATGAAGGTGACCATGTAGATCTCGTACACTACGTACTTCAGTGCATAGTGTATGCTCCACACTAGTAATTTATCTTGATGAAAGTGACCGTGTAGTCATCGTCACACTCTTATCTTCTACTGGTTGTGTTATAAGATGAAGGTGACCGTGTAGTCATCGTCACACTCTTATCTTCTACTGGTTGTGTTATAAGATGAAGGTGACCGTGTAGTCATCGTCACACTCTAATCTTCTGCTGGTTGTGTTATAAGATGAAGGTGACCATGTCATCATCGTCACACTCTTATCTTCTACTATTCTACTGATATTGAATAAGATGATGATTACCAAATTGTAATGTGACCAGTACCTTGTAATTTGACAGAAAGATATAGAGTGAGTTGGGCGAGGCCTTGGCTTGGCAGTTCTCATATGGGCCACCATTTTATGTCCTATCTGCATGATGGTCTATTCATGGTTTATGATAAGAGCAGAGTTGATGCACTTATGCTTGACTTGTGCATTAGTGTTGATACCCTCATGCTTGACCGGTGCAGTAGTTTTGGTGCCCTCATGCTTGACCGGTGCAGTAGAGTTGATGCCCTCATGCTTGACCGGTGCAGGAGTTTTGGTGCCCTCATGCTTGACCGGTGCAGTAGAGTTGATGGCCTCATGCTTGACCGATGCAGTAGAGTTGATGCCCTCATGCTTGACTGGTGCAGTAGTGTTGGTGCCCTCATGCTTGACCAGTGCAGTAGAGTTGATGGACTTATGCTTGACTGGTGAAGTAGTGTTGATGCCCTCATGCTTGACCAGTGCAGTAGTGTTGATGGACTCATGCTTGACTGGTGCAGTAGTGTTGGTACCCTCATGCTTGACCAGTGCAGTAGTGTTGTGCCCTCATGCTTGACCAGTGCAGTAGTGTTGGTGCCCTCATGCTTGACCAGTGCAGTAGTTTTAGTGCCCTCATGCTTGACCGGTGCAGTAGAGTTGATGGCCTCATGCTTGACCGGTGCAGTAGTGTTGGTGCCCTCATGCTTGACCGGTGCAGTAGTGTTGGTGCCCTCATGCTTGACCGGTGCAGTAGTGTTGGTGCCCTCATGCTTGACCAGTGCAGTAGTGTTGATGCCCTCATGCTTGACCTGTGCAGTAGTGTTGGTGCCCTCATGCTTGACCGGTTCAGTAGTTTTGGTGCCCTGATGCTTGATCGGTGCAGGAGTGTTGGTGCCCTCATGCTTGACCGGTGCAGGAGTGTTGGTGCCCTCATGCTTGACCGGTGTAGTAATGTTGGTACCCTCATGCTTGACCGGTGCAGTAGTGTTGTTGCCCAAATGCTTGACCTGTGCAGTAGTGTTGGTGCCCTCATGCTTGACCAGTGCAGAAGTGTTGATGCCCTCATGCTTGACCTTACAGTAAGTGTAGTTATTTCTACCTTACAGTAAGTATGGTTATTTCTACCTTTCAGTAAGTGTAGTTATTTCTACCTTACAGTAAATGGTTATTTCTACCTTACAGTAAGTGTGGTTATTTCTACCTTACAGTCAGTGGTTATTTCTACCTTACAGTATGTGGTTATTTCTACCTTACAGTAAGTGTGGTTATTTCTACCTTACAGTAAGTGTGGTTATTTCTACCTTACAGTAAGTGGTTATTTCTACCTTACAGTAAGTGTGGTTATTTCTACCTTACAGTATGTGGTTATTTCTACCTTACAGTAAGTGTGGTTATTTCTACCTTACAGTAAGTGGTTAATTCTACCTTACAGTAAGTGTAGTTATTTCTACCTTACAGTAAGTGTAGTTATTTCTACCTTACAGTAAGTGTGGTTATTTCTACCTTACAGTCAGTGTGGTTATTTCTACCTTACAGTAAGTATGGTTATTTCTACCTCACACTAAGTGTAGTTATTTCTACCTTACAGTAAGTGGTTATTTTTACCTTACAGTAAGTGTTTATTTCTACCTTACAGTAAGTGTGGTTATTTCTAACTTACAGTAAGTGTAGTTATTTCTACCTTACAGTAAGTGTGGTTATTTCTAACTTTCAGTAAGTATGGTTATTTCTACCTTACAGTAAGTGTAGTTATTTCTGACTTACAGTAAGTGTAGTTATTTCTACCTTACAGTAAGTATGGTTATTTCTACCTTACAGTATGTGGTTATTTCTACCTTACAGTAAGTGGTTAATTCTACCTTACAGTAAGTGTAGTTATTTCTACCTTACAGTAAGTGTAGTTATTTCTACCTTACAGTCAGTGTGGTTATTTCTACCTTACAGTCAGTGTGGTTATTTCTACCTTACAGTAAGTGGTTATTTCTACCTTACAGTAAGTGTGGTTATTTCTACCGTACAGTTAGTGTGGTTATTTCTACCTTACAGTAAGTGTAGTTATTTCTACCTTACAGTAAGTGGTTATTTCTACCTTACAGTAAGTGGTTATTTCTACCTTACAGTAAGTGTAGTTATTTCTACCTTACAGTAAGTGGTTATTTCTACCTTACAGTAAGTGGTTATTTCTACCTTACAGTAAGTGTGGTTATTTCTACCTTACAGTATGTGGTTATTTCTACCTTACAGTAAGTGTGGTTATTTTTACCTTACAGTAAGTGTAGTTATTTCTACCTTACAGTCAGTGTGGTTATTTCTACCTTACAGTAAATGTAGTTATTTCTACGTTACAGTAAGTGGTTAATTCTACCTTACAGTAAGTGTGGTTATTTCTACCTTACAGTCAGTGTGGTTATTTCTAACTTACAGTAAATGTAGTTATTTCTACCTTACATTAAGTGTTTATTTCTACCTTACAAGTATGTATGGTTATTTCTACCTTACAGTAAGTGTGGTTATTTCTACCTTACAGTAAGTGTGGTTATTTCTACCTTACAGTAAGTGGTTATTTCTACCTTACAGTATGTGGTTATTTCTACCTTACAGTCAGTGTGGTTATTTCTACCTTACAGTAAGTGTAGTTATTTCTACCTTACAGTAAGTGTGGTTATTTCTACCTTACAGTATGTGGTTATTTCTACCTTACAGTAAGTGTAGTTATTTCCACCTTACAGTAAGTATGGTTATTTCTACCTTACAGTCAGTGTGGTTATTTCTACCTTACAGTAAGTGTGGTTATTTCTACCTTACAGTAAGTGTGGTTATTTCTACCTTACAGTTAGTGTGGTTATTTCTACCTTACAGTAAGTGTGGTTATTTCTACCTTACAGTAAGTGGTTATTTCTACCTTACACTAAGTGTTTATTTCTACCTTACAGTAAGTATGGTTATTTCTACCTTACACTAAGTGGTTATTTCTACCTTACAGTAAGTGGTTATTTCTACCTTACAGTAAGTGTAGTTATTTCTAACTTACAGTAAGTGTGGTTATTTCTACCTTACAGTAAGTGGTTAATTCTACCTTACAGTAAGTGGTTATTTCTACCTTACAGTAAGTGTAGTTATTTCTAACTTACAGTAAGTGTGGTTATTTCTACCTTACAGTAAGTGGTTAATTCTACCTTACAGTAAGTGGTTATTTCTACCTTACAGGTACTTCCTTCTAATAAAGTACATTGATAACCTATGTATATAGATACCACTAATGTTTTTGAATGTGTCTTGCATTACAGGTGGCTTAAGTATCTTTCAAAGCTTTATGGAGAAGGTGGTGGAGCACCATGTTTTTCGACGTGGTATCATGTTTGCTATCCTCATCAACACTGTTGGTATGGGCATTGAGTACCATAACCAGGTGAGTAAACACTCCTGAACAGGTACATGTCACTGGTTTGACACCTGTTACTAGTTTGACACCTGTTACTGGTTTGATACCTTGATACCTGGTTTGACACCAGTCACTAGTTTGACATGTTGCCTGTTTGACACCTATTACTGGTTTGACACCTGCTAATGGTTTGACACCGGTCACTGGTTTGACACATGTTGTCTGTTTGACACCTGTCACTGGTTTGACACATGTTGTCTGTTTGACACCTGTTACTGGTTTGACACCTGTTACTTGTTTGACACCTGTTACTGGTTTGACACCTGTTATTGGTTTGACACCCCTCACTGTTTTCACATGTAAAACATGTTTGACACCTGTTACTGGTTTGACACCTGTTGCCTGTTTGACACCTGCTACTTGTTTGACACCTGCTACTGGTTTGACACCTGTTACTGGTTTGACACCTGTTACTGGTTTACCTGTTACTGGTTTGACACCTGTCACTGGTTCGACACCCCTCACTGTTTTCACATGTAAAACATGTTTGACACCTTTCGCTGGCTTCACATGTATTGCATGTTTGAAAGTTGTCTCCTTACATCCTTTGTTTGACACTAGTCACATGCTTGACACCAACTGTCTGTTTGACACCTGTGAAGTTTTGACAGCTGTTGTCTGTTTAACACTGTTTACATGTCATTTGTTCCCATTTCAGCCAATTGAACTTACCCAGGCAGTTGAGTACAGCAATATAGTTTTCTGTGTCTTGTTCGCTCTGGAAATGCTGTTTAAACTGATGGCCTATGGACTTTTTGGTTACATTCAAAATGGCTTTAATGTGTTTGATGGGTTCATTGTAATTCTCAGGTAAGTTGAACTGCCGTTAAGTTATCAACAATGTTAAACATGTTGACTGCAATCTGTAGAATTAGTTACAGTGAATTGATGAGTATTTGGTTCACCTGGCCCAGTGACTTGGGCTAGTATCGATTCTGTGTCAGTTTTTTGTTAGCCCACCATCTATTCAAATCGCCCTGCGTCCGTGGTCCGTCATCCGTCCGTCCATCCGTCCGTCCATACGTCCGTCCGTAAACAATTCTTGTTACCGCTATTTCTGGAAAAGTACCGGATGGATGTTTCTCAAATTTCATTGCAGGTTCCCCTTGGTCCCTAGTTGTGCATTGTACCTTTTTGGGACTGATTAGCATTCAAGATGGCCAACAGGTGGCCATCTTGGATTTTGGAAGTAAAAGTTTGTTACCACTATTTGTGAGAAAGTACTGGATGGATCTTCCTCAAATCTCATATGCAGGTTCCCCTTGGTCCCTAGTTGTGCATTGTACCTTTTTCGAACTGATTCGAATTCAAGATGGCCGACAGGTGGCCATCTTGTATTTTGGAAGTAAAAGTTTGTTACTGCTATTTCTTGGAAAGTACCGGATGGATCTTTCTCAAATTTCATAGATATTGGTTTCACTTGGTCCCTAGTTGTGCATTGTACCTTTTTTGGACTGATTTGAAATCAAGGTGGCCTACAGGCAGCCATCTTGGATGTTGACAGTAATACAGCACAAGCATATTGTCCATTATCAACCTGTAACTGACTGCTATCTAATAATACTTTGGGATCTTTTTCAAATGATATTTGCTAATAGGTGCTTAATAAAAATATCTTGTGCCATCATTGAGTACATTCAATGAAGACCAATTCATGAACATTTACAACACCTGTAACAAACAAAAAAAAATAAACAAATCTTCAAGAACTGAAAACAGATCCTCAAATGGTGGGTGCCAAGATCCCTCTGGGATCTCTTGTTCTAAATGACCTTTAATGAAGAACCATTTGTTTTAGGGTCTAATTTATCTATTAAAATCCTGAGATAATGCCAACCCAATCCTGCAAAAAGAACATGATTTATACTCAATTTCACTATAAAGGAACTGTACATTATTGTGAATGTGAGTGATACAGGTCCTATAGGCCTCTTCCTTCCTGAACCTGATGTAACAAAAGGTTAACAGAAGTTGCTGCAAGCTTCAGGTGTTTTGTTATTATACATTTCAGTATCATAGAACTTCTACAGGAAGACGAGAACAGTGGTCTCTCTGTGTTACGAACATTCCGTCTGCTTCGCATTCTCAAATTGGTACGATTCATGCCTGCCCTGCGACGCCAGTTGGTGGTCATGCTGCGGACGATGGACAACGTAGCCACTTTCTTTGCTCTTCTTGTCTTGTTTATCTTCATATTCAGGTACATTTGTCTTTCTAGTTGTTCATCGTTATTGTATCTTTCTATCATGATATTTGTTAGTATAATTTTAACAAGCAATGTCTTCCTTTTTGTTATAATGTAGATAATATTTATAAATGATTTACAAATGATAATTAACAAGATTTAACCAAACCACCCTTATATACATTGTTATGTTCTGAATAAGATTTTGAATATAATTTATGTTCTGAATACAACTTTAGATATAATTTTGTTGTTTCTGACAATGATATTGATCAATATATTATGTACAAATGTATTGTCACTTGTATAATATGTATACCCAGTTTCTCCTCACAATAATGCTAAAGAAACAGAAGAAAAAATCTGTAACATCTTCAACAATAAGTGAGTTGGATCAATCACCTTGATATCATTATATTATACTGTACCATTGAAAAAGTAATTATATGGAAACTATAACATTGATAGCTCTGTTGTATTGAGAACAGTCAACATTATAGTACTGTTGTATTGGGAACAGTACAGCATTGTAGTGTTATTGTATTGGAAACAGTACAAAATTATAGTGATGTTGTATTGGGAACAGTACAACATTATAGTACTGTTGTATTGGAAACAGTACAAAATTATAGTAGTGGTGTATTGGGAACAGAACAACATTATAGTAGTGGTGTATTGGGAACAGAACAACATTATAGTAGTGTTGTATTGGGAACAGAACAACATTATAGTACTGTTGTATTGGGAACAGAACAACATTAAAGTACTGTTGTATTTGGAACAGTCAACATTATAGAGCTATTGTATTGGGAACAGTCAACATTATATTGATGTTGTATTGGGAACAGAAAAACATTATAGTACTGTTGTATTGGGAATAGAACAACATTATAGTACTGGTGTATTGGGAATAGAGCAACATTATAGTACTGTTGTATTGGGAACTGTCCAATATTATAGTACTGTTGTATTGGGAACAGTCAACATTATAGTACTGTTGTATTGGGAACAGTCAACATTATACTGCTGTTGTGTTGGGAACAGTCAACATTATAGAGCTATTGTATTGGGAACTGTCCAATATTATAGAGCTATTGTATTGGGAACAGAACAACATTAAAGTACTGTTGTATTGGGAACTGTCCAATATTATAGAGCTATTGTATTGGGAACTGTAAAATATTATAGTGCTGTTGTATTGGGAACTGTCCAATATTATAGAGCTATTGTATTGGGAACTGTAAAATATTATAGTGCTGTTGTATTGGGAACTGTCCAATATTATAGAGCTATTGTATTGGGAACTGTCCAATATTATAGTGCTGTTGTATTGGGAACTGTCCAATATTATAGAGGTATTGTATTGGCAACTGTCCAATATTATAGAGGTATTGTAGTGGGAACTGTCCAATATCATAGAGCTATTATAATTGAAATGACATTAATTTTCATTGGTTTTGTAACTAAGATAAGAATATTGATTAGCTGATAATGTTAGGAGAAATTGACTAATTGTATAATTGATGTTTTTTTTTTATTCAGTTTTATGAGTTTCTCTACATGATCTTTACAGCTTACATAGATATTCTACTTCTGAATTTGGTTTTCTCTAAAACTGTAGAAGTTTCAGTTGCCATTTCTAACTGGTGTATATATTTTCTGCTTTCTGGTTCTATGCTATAGAGTAGAGAAGTCATTTAAAATTTCACCATATTCCCTTCCATTAGCATCCTGGGAATGAACTTATTTGGGTGTAAGTTCTGGCGCAAAGTGAATGGGCGCAAGTACCGTAATCGCAAGAACTTTGATTCTCTTCTGTGGGCCATTATCACAGTGTTCCAGGTACTCAGTTGTCACTAATGTTTGTGGGCAGATCCTGCTTTAGTGTGTGACCAGATCCCAGTGTACTAACACCTGCACGTCTCCGTGTGTATAGAGCTGTCTGTTCATGTGGCGTCCTGTATGTATAGACAAGGTCCTCGAGCCACGTGTCCTGTATGTTTAGACGAGGCCACGTCCTAGAGCCACATGTCCTGTATGTTTAGACAAGGCCATGTCCTAGAGCCACGTTTGTCCATACGTCTTTCCCTGCTCAGATGCACCGGTCTCACATGTCTAAACACAAAACGGCCATCACAGCTCTTGCAATCACCTCCCTTCAACAGTAGAGAACACTAGTTATAATAATCACTCTCTATTCAACAGAAGAGATTAAATATTATCAAAGTTACCTCCCTTCAACAGTAGAAAACACTAGTTATAACAACCACTCTCCCTTCAAGAGAAGAGATTAAATATTATCAAAGTAATCTCCCTTCAACTGAAGAGATTAAATATTATTAAAGTTACCTCCCTTCAACAGTAGAGAACAATAGTTATAACAATCACTCTCTATTGAACAGTAGAGATTAGATATTGTTAAAGTTACCTCCCTTCAACAGTAGAGATTAAATATTATCAAAGTTACCTCCCTTCAACAGTAGAGAACACTAGTTATAACAATCACTCTCTATTGAACAGTAGAGATTAGATATTATCAAAGTTACCTCCCTTCAACAGTAGAGAACACTAGTTATAACACTCGCTCTCCATTCAACTGAAGAGATTAAATATCATCAAAGTAACCTCTCCCTTCTAATGAAGAGATTAATTATCATTAAAGTTACCTCCCTTCAACAGTAGAGAACACTAGTTATAACAATCACTTTCCCTTCAACAGAGGAGATTGAATGTTATCAAAGTAACCTTCCTTCAACGGTAGAGATTCAATATTATTAAAGTTACCTCCCTTCAACAGTAGAGAACAATAGTTATTATAATCACTCTCCCTTCAAGAGAAGAGATTAAATATTATCAAAGTAATCTCCCTTCAACTGAAGAGATTAAATGTTATCAAAGTAACCTCCCTTCAACTGAAGAGATTAAATATTATTAAAGTTACCTCAATTCAAGAGTAGTGAACAATAGTGATTACAATTACTCTCTATTGAACAGAAGAGATTAAATATTATCAAAGTTACCTCCCTTCAACAGTAGAGAACTCTAGTTATAATAATCACTCTCCATTCAACAGAAGAGATTAAATATTATCAAAGTTACCTCCCTTCAACAGTAGAGAACTCTAGTTATAACACTCGCTCTCCATTCAACTGAAGAGATTAAATATTATCAAAGTTACCTCCCTTCAACAGTAGAGAACTCTACTTATAATAATCACTCTCCATTCAACAGAAGAGATTAGATATTATCAAAGTTACCTCCCTTCAAAAGTAGAGATTAAATATTATTAAAGTTACCTCAATTCAAGAGTAGTGAACAATTGTGATTACAATTACTCTCTATTGAACAGAAGAGATTAAATATCATCAAAGTTACCTACCTTCAAAAGTAGAGATTAGATATCATCAAAGTTACCTCCCTTCAACAGTAGAGATTAAATATCATCAAAGCTACCTCCTTTCAACAGAAGAGATTAAAACATTACTAAAGTTACCTCCCTTCAACAGTAGAGATTAAAACATTATTAAAGTTACCTCCCTCTAACAGTAGAGAACACTAGTTATAACAATCACTCTCCCTTCAACAGAGGAGATTAAATGTTATCAAAGTAACCTCCCTTCAACAGTAGAGATTCAGTATTATTAAAGTTACCTCCCTTCAACAGTAGAGAACACTAGTTATAACAATCACTCTCCCTTCAACAGTAGAGATTACTAATGATAATAATCAGCCTGTTTCAACAGTTTAAATTACCTTCCCTGAACATTGGAAATAATTACAGTTATTGCAATCAGTAGTAGGGATAATAAAAGCTGTTACAATTACCTCCCTTAAATTGTACAGATTTAGTGTTGTTACCATTACCGACACATTAAAGATATTAATAGATATTACACCTCTCTTCAATCATCAGGATAATTAGAGTTTTAACAATAACCTCTCTTCCGTAGTAAAGTTAACAACAGGTATTACAATAACCTCTCTTCCGTAGTAAAGTTAACAACAGGTATTACAATTACCTCCTGTCCACAGTAAAGTTAACAACAGGTATTACAATAACCTTCCATCCACAGTAAATTTAACAACAAGTATTACAATAACCTCCCTTCCACTGTAAAGTTGACAACAGGTATTACAATTACCTCCAGTCCACAGTAAAGTTAACAACAGGTATTACAATAACCTCCCGTCCACAGTAAAGTTAACAACAGGTATTACAATTACCTCCTGTCCACAGTAAAGTTAACAACAGGTATTACAATTACCTTCCTTCTATAGTAAAGTTAACAACAGGTATTACAATTACCTCCTGTCCACAGTAAAGTTAACAACAGGTATTTCAATAACCTTCCTTCTATAGTAAAGTTAACAACAGGTATTACAATTACCTTCCTTCTATAGTAAAGTTAACAACAGGTATTACAATTACCTCCCTTCTATATTAAAGTTAACAACAGGTATTACAATTACCTCCCTTTTATATTGAAGTTAACAACAGGTATTACAATTACCTCCTGTCCACAGTAAAGTTAACAACGGGTATTATAATAACCTCCCTTCCATAGTAAAGTTAACAACAGATATTATAATAACCTACCTTCCACTGTAAAGTTGACAACAGGTATTACAATTACCTCCCGTCCACAGTAAAGTTAACAACAGGTATTACAATAATCTCCCGTCCACAGTAAAGTTAACAACAGGTATTACAATAACCTCCTGTTCACAGTAGTTAATAAAAGGTATTACAATAACCTCCCTTCTATAGTAAAGTTAACAACAGGTATTACAATAACCTCCCTTCTATAGTCAAGTTAACAACAGGTATTACAATTACCTCCCTTACATAGTAAAGTTAACAACAGGTATTACAATTACCTCCCTTCTATAGTAAAGTTAACAACAGGTATTACAATTACCTCCCTTCTATAGTAAAGTTAACAACAGGTATTACAATTACCTTCCTTCTATAGTAAAGTTAACAACAGGTATTACAATAACCTCCCGTCCACAGT